TTTTGTTAGGACATATATAGTAAAAGATGTGCAAGATAGTAAGACCTTTAATTTGATATCAAGAAAATTGGGTTAGCCCTTCAAATTAGGGGCATAGAGGGGCCAAAAGTCTCTCGTCTTTAACTCTTTAATGATCAATATTTTGTGATACATTACAAAGGCAAAGATATTCAACTTAACGATCTGCAACAATATGTACTAAAGATTTGATCATGTTACGTAATAAAGGGTCACAGGGGGCTAGAATGCTAAATCTTGGACGCTATATATCTCGAAAAGCGTGAATATTTTGATAAGCAATATTGAACAAAAGATGGTCAAAATAATGTTCCCAACAATATGCATACATTTAATTTTTTCATTTTTCCGTCGTCACTTTCGTTGTAAACCGGAAGTACACGTAGTTTAAATACATATATAGCGATTTTTTTTCATTTTCTAATGAATGTTATTGTTCATTATAGAGGTTTAAAGAATGCGTAGCATCTGAATATTTCCAACGGAAGTACGGTTCATTCAAACCGGAAGTTGTCTAAAAATGAGTATTTTCCATCGAAACTTTCAGGGGTGACCTACTGCATACTTGATATAGAGTTGAAAGTAGATTTGAGCACATACGGTCGCACCGGAAGTGAATAAGTAGAACTTGAAGTTGATTGGAATTGATAGATCCTACATTTTTTTGTGTTTCTAGACATATTTTGAAGAATTCTAGTGCTTTTTTTGACATTTTTTTATTCTATCAATGAAAATTATCCCTACACAGGTCTTATTCCATCAGATATCGGACGGAAGACCCACTCGTTGCTTGCAACGAGATCGTATCTAGTTATTATTATTTTTCTTATTTTTTTGACTTTCTAATTTTGTGCACGCGATTTCTCAAAGACTACTGGATGGATTTTCATGAAATTTGCAGGAATAATGTGTTGTTGTCTGAAATTATTTTATCCGAGAGATTTTTTGGAAATTTTTATCTGGTGCCAAGTTACGGATAATTTTCTGATTTTAAAGTGACATTTTGTTCGCGGATAATCTCAAGAACGGTAAAAGATATCACTGTGAAACTTTAATTTCAGAGATTATAGTTCTTGATAAGTACTATTCAAGATGCGATCATTTGTACGTCGTCTCTACTTCCTGTCGTAACAGCATGTGAATTTAAAAAGTCGAATTTTTTAACTTTTTTGTTTTTCAATATTTTCAATTTTTTTTAGTATGGTTGATAGAAACATTTCTTATTAGCCTGAATTAAATTTGTTTGTAAATTGATAAATTCAAACTCGAGGTATTAACATTCAAAAATCTAAAGTGGGATCAAAATGGCGGCGGTCTCTGTCAATTCCGACATTTCGCAATAGGGGTTTACAGAGGCAGCCGAGCGTTTGCTTGAACGAAAGTTACATAAGGAGCAATGAAATGTGTAGGGATACTTGGATTGTCACGTCGTAGGTTCGTTGCAATTCTGTGTCAAACTACATTTATAATCCAAGGTCTCTTTACAAGTCTTCTTAAATTGGTTTCGGTTGTTTCTCTAAGTAGAAAGAGAAAAGAATTAATGTGCAAATTAAATACAATATTTACTATCTTTTGTTTTGCATCACCGTAACACATAGCTTAAATCATATTTATAATTAATAGTTTTTACTTGTTGTTCAAGAAACAATATATATAGTAAGTACAAAACGTGACCACTGTTTTCCTATGCACACTTGTATCATATTAAATAAATAGAAAGGACAACTGTTACAATAAGAAAGCATTTTTTTAAAGATAACTATTTTTCAAAGACCGTTTAATTGACCTATTTAATTATTTTTTTCTCAAGATATTGAACATAATGGAATCTTATTCCTTGACCCTCGTAGGGCGATCGATGTTTTTTCTGGTGAAACATACCACTTTTTTCAAGAAAGTATAGGTAATCGGAATGGCCCACTCTCGTGATTAAGAGGAAAATTAAAAATTAACCATTCATAACTGTTTCACAGCTTTAGTGTTATTTGCCTATATACGATATGTTACATTTATCTGTAAAATTTACTTTCCACACCTCAAAATTTAGGTGATAAGAACTCTCTTTAGTTTTTTGATTGAAGCTATCTCACCTATTTACAGGACATTCCAAGGGAAAGGCGCCTAGATTTACTCGTGGCGTTTGGCACGAAATTATTAATAGTGACTCTCCTTTCATAATTCCAAGACAGATTAACTGTTGCAGAATCGTATGTACATACAAATGAAGTAAGAGTAGTCGTTCAAATAGCGTAATCGATAAGCGTATTGGATTTTCACGCTAGTGACCCGTTTCAATTACCAGTGTGTCCAAAATATGTTTAATCCATTTTCAGCTCGATTTTATGGGTTATTTTTTGGAATCGGACGGAAGACATTTCGTTGCTCGCAACGAGATCGTTTCTAGTTCAAATAATTTTTCTTGATAAACATGTAAATATACGTCTAGATTCTGACATTATCACTGTCTTCATATTTAATTCATCTTCAATATGAATTTTATCTATTGTCACTTTGTCTTTTCCTTGCTTCCAATGAACAAAATGGTTTTTTTAATCCTCAGTCTGTATGGACGACAAAGACCATTCCCATTGATATGTGAGAAGAATTGTTCATCACAGTCAATCACGTGGACGCAGTCGTTATAGCAATCATCTACCAGAATCCGGGACATTTGGGTCTGGAGTTATTCTAAATGGAGTAAATGAAGAGTATTTATTCAAGGCTAGTTTACAAATATATGTAATCCGAAGCCCGTCATTATTATTGTCAACAACAACTCTTAATGATCCTCTGTCAGGAACACAGATATCAGAATTTCTGTTTTCAGCCACATACAAACTATTTTGAATTCCGGAATTAAACAGTGGTTTGCTTTCTTTGTCATTCAGTATTTCCTGTGACACACTGGAACCAAATTAGCCATGATAATCATTTTCACTTCTTAGGCAGATCATCAGGTCTTCGTCGGAAGTGGTACATATTTAGAGACAACGAAGGGTATTCAAGCTCAAAATCCATCCGAACAATACAAATTAGGAGCAGAGCAAACACAGACCTCTCAAACGTTAGAAGTAGGATCAGATGCCATGGAGTAGTAGGTATTCCCTGCATATGGCTCACAACCTCCATGTGTTTTGTGTCATGATCGGGAAATAACAGAAAATTCCGTCATTAATAAAGATTGTAAATAATGGTCATTAACTTTGAATTTCCACTTCGTTAGAGAAATCAGATTCACCGATTTCCCGTTTCTGACCATAAATCCAAATCGTCTCACCCAAAAAGCTATTATACACCAAATCTCTTTTTGCTCTGTTAGGCATATTCCATAATCATATTCGAAAGGAATGTCCATATTCTCCAAAATGGTAATGTTCTGATGTATCCGCTTGATAGTTCTACACTGCACCACACTTCATTATTTACACAGGTCACGAGTTCAGAATTCAACAAACCGCGGTTAAAATCCCTGACAGTCTATAAGAGAACTTGATTTATGGATCCCCATTTCCTTTTCAATGTGTGACGCTATTAAGGGATCTCCAAATTACGCTGTTACGTTTACTTCACTTATGGCCTTTGGAGTGAATGGAGAAAAAAATTAAGGACCGGTTTTCACGTCCTGCAGTGGGATTAAAATCTGCGACATAAGATGAACTCCTTACTCCGCCACTCTAGTTACTACACCACGCGAATGACCATTTTAATTTGCCAACTAATTTCTATAATGCGTGATTTTTCTTTGAAATTTTATACTTATGTCGTGATTAATTATAGAATTTTACATTCTATATATATATTAAATATCATTGATTATACGTCATTTTTCATACATTTAAATTTGTGTCAAACATAAAATTATTTTACGTAACGGAGAAAATGAAAAGGTATATTTACTTTATTCTATATTCTTAATTCCATTATGCTTCCTAATATATATATATATTATATAACTTTGTGAAATCCGATAATCTGATTGGTCAATACGAAGTAATTATATTTTAATAATGACCGCTGAAAGCGAATAATGACTCGCACGAGCTGCCTCGTTTTCACTTTCGCTTTAGTCAAACATGGGAGTTCGCAAGTTTGCAAGTTGTAGGCGAGGAAAATTTAAAAGATATAGTGAAGAACTCTGAAGGTGAGAATACAAAACAATTATCAAGGATATCTTTTAACATGTTTCGGGAATACTTATCACCTATACCATTTCATTGTTGAATTCGATTTTTCCACTCGGCGAGCAGATTTTTGACGCTGTTTACGCGATTACGGACTCGGAGACTAAAGTAAATAAAGAAAAGTATGCCATGTACGATTGTATAGATAAGTTAGCGTAGAAGACATCTATAGAGGTTAATATTTTGTCAGTGCCTTTCTTTTGCAAGTGTAAATGAGTGCGATTCTAAATCTGGGGAGGGGGTACTCTGTGTTATTCGGAGATAGATCTAGATACCTTGTGTTATTATTATGCTTAGCTATAGGTTAAAATTTATTACCGAAACAAGTTCCTGTGAGTAACATTCAATAAATTCTGAAACGTTTATATTCAACTTATTTATGGTAAACACCATCTCTGTAAACATTAGGAAGATATACATAGTACTAATACATTTGGGAAATTATCATTTATATAATATAATAAATATGGACTCAATGCACGGTCAATATGCATTTATAATGACCCGGGATGGCAGATATTGACCTCAGATACATGGAGTATATCGACCTCGGTCGATATACTCCATGTATCTTCGGTCAATATCTGTCATCCTGGGTCATTATAAATGCATATTGACCTACATTGAGTCCATATTTGTATAATATATATATATATATATATATATATATATATATATATATATATATATATATATATATATATATATATATATATATATATATATATATATATGATTTTGATTTAGTTTCCACAGTGTAATAGCACTGTCGCTGATTTTGTTCACTACCGTATTTGGTTCTATGAAAGAGACACCACATCAAATCGTTACCAAGTACAATAATTACCGGACCATCTGCACAGGACTAGGATTTCAGAACCTGAGCTGTAAGGCCAACAACAAAGGTACATATTTTTATTTCAAAGAATGTAATTAGTTTCTTTATGAAAAAACCATTTATAATATAGACACTTTTCTATTTTGTTTCACTTTTATATTTGGGATGCGTTTCGGGTTTTTTTAGGGGTGGGGCATTCACCTATTTTTGAAAGAAGTATGTTTGATATATCAAGCATATTTAAATGTATCATTAAATAGAATAGCTGATTAACTTTTTTTAAAGGAACAATTGCATTTCATTCGTCACTTAGCAGTGACTTGGAGAACATGGCAAATCAACAGACAGTGATATTTGACAAAGTAACCTTGAATGAAGGAAAATGCTATAATGAGAAGACAGGTATTTTTACCGCCCCTGAGGAAGGTGTGTATACCTTCAGCTGGACAACCATGACAAAAGGCAATAAATACGTTGTAAGTGAGATGGTACTTGATGGTAAGCCTATCGCTTACAATTACACAGACGGAAGAGGAGGCATGGCATATACTATGTCATCAAATACTGCCAACATCAAACTGAGGAAAGGCAACAAAGTTTGGATCAGATCACACCAAAACTGGGGTCAGTTTGCTCATGGTGGAAATTGGAGTACTTTTTCAGGAAATAAGCTATAGACATAATGTGCATATACGAAGGTTGTTCGAAAAGTCCGTGGACGATGTCAATCTTCTTATATTACTCACTAGAAATTTAAAATAAGTAAGATATATTTTGTTGATGTGTGAGGTTTAATTCCATTCGATTTAACATAAATCAATTTACTTCAATTTAAAATCAAAATGAGCACACTTAACGGTAATATAACTTTAAAACATAGCGTCAAGATTTCATAAAAAAAAAAAGACGATCCCTATACATTTTACACAGTTATCCAATACCCAAATACCATTAAATCCTTTTTTCTAATACTTAACATTTATTCTTTAAGAGCTGCTCTCGTTGTATAATTTCCTTTGTTTAGGTTTTTAGTTCTTGTATTACTGAATTCTGCTTTCACAGGATGAGCAACTCTACAGCATCTATTTCTTTCCTTTACGTTCCAACTTTTAAAAATTTTAAGGGTTATACCGTTTTTTCAAAAATTTTCCTCATTCGACAGTCTCTGTCACTCAAACACTGACTGTACTATTTGTACACACATGCACATCTCGCCTGTGACATATTTTCTTAATTCCTCCAACATTTGTAGAGTTTACTCTGGATTTTTCCTGAGTGAAACACAAAATTGCATCTTTATCTGCTGCTCCGTGACGTTCTAAAACGTCATCGTTTTTGTCTTTTTCAATGAGGACTACCTATATTCTCCGGTTGATTTCTTTTCAACAAAGTAAAATATTAAGCAATAATAATGAATACAAATATTTGTTACAATTCGAAATTTGAATTAAATTTTCTAGGTTGTTTTATTCTCGTTATTGTCTCCATTTTACGGAGAATAAGAGTATAGACATTATTTTTTTTATTCTCTGTAACCTACTTAATTTTGTCCTGCTCCGCGATCCGATTTTCGAATTTTAAAATCTGCATAAGTTTTTAATAAATCGTGAATTTTCAAAAAAAAATTTAAAAAATCAATTTGATTTATTGTAAAAATAGTTCTACCTAATTTGGATAACATATGACGTCAAATAAAAAAACTATATGACAGAAGTCAAAAACTTGTCGAACAACCCTCGTGCAATGAAATAAAATAAACTGATAAAATTATGATTAGTTCTTTCATATTTTGTTCATTACCATTTAAGGTATCAAAAGAGAAAATGAAAAGGTAAAGAAAATTTAAAGACTATGTGTCCTTGTACTTCTTACCTTTTCTCTTTCAATGTATGAATAATTAGTCAGTTTGTTTTAAAGATAGCATATCCATCTATTCATGAACTGGTGAAATGAGATTATGCATCAGCAAAACCTTTTATAGATATGATAATGTCACCTGAAATCTACCACTAAGTTATAAATGTACAAAATTAAACCAGAGACAGTTCCATCTAACTGTTCAATGTATTTCGTAAATTCCACCATTCATACGAGTGTTGATCCAAAAGAAAAGTCACAACTTTGATAAAATTGCTACTAGTCATTATAAATCAATGAAATTGTACATGGTTAAAGCTATATTTATAAAAAACCAGCCCTGAAAAAATCAAATCAAAATTATGTTTACTTTTCAAAATATTGAATTATATACAAAGTGCAATTATAGTAGTCGCCGCACCTAAATCACGTCATATAATGGATGCGCACCGTCATACACTTTTGAACCCCCCCCTCCCCACGTTTTATTAAAATATTTGAGATACATGAGCACATTCATATATATTTTTCTTTTTAAAAGAATTAGTGGCACCCTTTGTACACTCACTCTATGCATAATTTAGTTTTCTGTCAAAATTATTTGTACAGTACCATAAGACAAACTTAATTTTTCTCATTTCACTTTAACCGTCTCTCTTTTTGGACAACTTCAGACACCATTGAACGTTTCCATCCGGCCTCCCATCTTTCGGTCTTTCTGTCCTCTGCTGATAACTCAATGACCCATGACACACTTAAAATCACTAAAACCATCTATAAACAAGTCTCTTTTTTACATTCTCCTTGCTATGTGTCTGATTAATTATTGTAAATGTCTCTAAGGACATTTTTCCATTTTTTAAGCAAAAAAACGCATTACAGATCTTTTAGCAGTTTTTCTCCATTTCGACATTTCTTTTGTTCAATACAGCTCATTAAAACAACAATGTTTATGATCAAAAAGTAATGACGTCATTTTATTTTCAAGTTAGGCTAGGAAATGTCGTAAAAAATTGTCTTTTAAAATATTGGGCAATTAGACGCTTTTTTAGATGCTTTTTAATGTGTTTGTCTTTTTTTCATACTAATAATTTACACTTAAAAACTTGACGTTATGTTGTGACGCGGCGAAACCCCTAACGTTTAATATTTTAAAAGTCTATAAAATTCATTCAAGTTAACATCATTAAATGAAACTTTCAATTTCAATTAGATTTATTTTTATGCATCTTTTGGTATATTATATTCGATAATATGACGTCAAATATTAAAGATATTGACACAGTGACATTTCTTTTGGATTAACCCTCGTAATATTTGTTCTCTGTCAGCATGTTGTTATTGTCGCTGTTGCCAACTTCTCACATTTTTGTCTTCAAGACCACTGGACCAATTTCAACCATGATTGTCACAAACCATCCTTGGATGAAGAGAATTCAGGATTGTTTAGGAGAAGAAAGATATCAATAAGAATTGATGAAAATTTTATGTCATCCTTTAAAAAAACTTCTTAAGGACAGATGATACAAATTTTTTCTTTGGAAGAGACTTAATATCATGTCACAAGTTTAGAAAAGTGGATAATTCTTAGAACATTTTCTCCTAAGAATTGGAAAATGAAATAGACTCTAGGAAAATATTAGTAATATTTCAATGAAAAAACAAATATAGACAAATCATATTCAGTAAAGGTTTACAGGTGAAAACAAATTTCAGAATATGTTACCTTGGTGCTAAAAGTGACGTATAAACTTTAGAAAAATATACCAAGCCAGGTGATTTTTAAGAGGGGGAACAAAATGACAAAAAATAAGTAATATCACATAGGCTGATTTTCACAATTTAGCATTTACTAATAAAATTCACTTGGCTTGGTATATTTTTGTTCAGTTTATATTACACTTTTAGCACCAAGATAACATATTCTGAAATTTGTTTTCACCTGTAAACCTTTACTGAATGTGATTTGTCTATATTTGTTTTTACATAGAAATATTACTAATATTTTCCAAGTGTTTTTCAAATTCCAGTTCTTAGGAGAACAAACTATAAGAATCATCCACTTTTCTAAACTTGTGACTTGGTATTTAATCTTTTTCAAAGAAAAAATTTGTTTGTATCATCTGTCCTTAAAACATTCGCCAGAAAACGTGAAACTTATGGTAAAGCTTCATTACAAAGTGTGAATTCAAGCCATGATACATATAGAAGCATTTTCAGCATTTTCAGATAGTGTGAATTCAGATTTGTTTAAATGATGACCCCAGATGGTACAGAGGTCAACATTAATATTTGTCCGATTGTTCGTGTCCAGTTCATGTGATCAGACAGGTTAATCTCCTCAAACCTTTGTCAGATTGGACCAGAGAAACACCAATTATGAAAAAATGTGGGGAATTATTGCTAATACCGTATACATTAAACTCTGCAGTTGAAGCTCACCTGAGCTGAAGATTCAAGTGAGAATTTCTGATCAGAAAGTTTTCGAGAGTCCGTCTGTTAACTGTATCAAAGGAATATAGAGAAAGTATCTTTAAACATTTCTTCTCAAGTAAATAAACGCCATTAATATTGGTCAAAGTAATAAAGATGAATTTTTAAGTTATGTAGATTCAAGTTTGTGCAAATTTATGACCCCTAAATTTAATTAAACATATGGAGATCTTATATGCACTTTTTGTCATCAAATACTTTTGATAAAGTGTATCCTAAACAGATTTATTTTTATTCCAAATAAAAGTTAAGATCCATTAATTTTTCCAATATTGGAATTTGTCATTTGCTTTAAACTGCATCCTCTTATTTCCCTATCTTTTCGCCCCACTATCATTTTCAAGAACCCATTGCATTACTTACACTAAAGCTATTTGTCGACAACGTCCGTTTTTAATTCACAAGTTTATGAAAACATTTCCGGTGTACTTACAGTACCTTTTAAGTTTTTAAATGTGTATAAAAATTATAAAACAATTGATTTCTTTAAACATTCCTGAATAGCTGGCATGTGTTTTTAGTTTGTGATGGCAATTATTTTTCATGTGAAACTATTAATTCAATTATTTTTTTGTTGATAAACATGAATATATATGTACATCTAGATTCTGACTTTATCATTGTCTTAATGTTTAATTTATTTTTAATATGAATATTTAATTATTGTCACTCTATCTTTTTGGCTTCCAATAAACAAAATGTTGTCTGTAGAAATGCTCAGACCGTAAGGAAGAGAAAGTCCATTTCCAGTGATATATGATAAAAACTGTCCATCACAATCCATCACGTGGACGCAGTCGTTATAGCAATCAGCTACCAGAATTCTACACGTTGTGTCTGTGGTTATTCCAAATGGAGTAAATGATGAGTATGTCTTCGAGTTTAGGTTACCAGTATATGTAAACCGAAATTCCCCTTCCTTATTTACAACAATTACTGACGATGATCCTCTATCAGAAACACATATATCAGAATTTCTGTTTTCAGCCACGTACAAGCTATTTTGAATTCCGGAACTAAACAGTGGTTTGTTTTCTTTGTCATTCTGTATTTCTTGCGACACATTTGAGCCAGAATAACGAACAACTTTGCCCTGGTAATCAATTTCACTTCTCATGCAGACCAACAAGTCTCCATCGGACGTTGTACATATACCACAAGATTTCCACTTCGTGAGAGAAATCAGCTTCCTAGATTTCCCGCTTCTGACTATTTTTATTGCTTTATCCGTATTATTATCAAACACCAAGTCTCCTTGCTCTGTGAGGCATATTCCATAGATATATCCCGAAGAAATATCTACATTTTCCAAAACTGTACTGTTTCTATTTATTCGCCTGATAGTTCGATACCGTGCTACCCAAACTTCTTCATTGCTAACACAGGCCACGAGTTCTGCATTCTCTAAACCGCTGTTTAGAATTCCGAGCAGTCTTGGAGTTTGTACGAGAGAACTTAATTTCTCGATCCCCAACGGGACTTCCTTTACAATTTGTGACTTTTGGTCAAGATACCCAAAGTCCTCTGTGATGAGTTCATCATAGATAGGCTTTGAAGTGAATGTAGGTAAAATAATATCTGTTAACTTTAACTGAGTAAGTTCCTCTAGAGTTGAATCGAAGTCAATAAATTCCTTTGCCGAATTTCTGTGCAAAATACTCCTACATCTGTTAACTTCATCATGGCAGACTTTTAAAAGATTCTTGATTGCTGTCGAATTATTGTCAATCTCCGATACATGGCTCTGCATAATGGTATGAAGGTCTTTCAACTTCTTCTGTGCGATATCGTGTATTATCCTGTGCCACCTCTCTTCCTGTTTCTGAATTGCGATTTCTAAAGGTTTGTATTGTTTTGAAACTTGCTGTTTCTGTTCTACCATATTTTCAGATAAGCTTTCGAGTTGCTTTATTATAGTTTCTTCTAGCGCTTTGACGTCGTGTTGGATGTCTTGACGCCGTAAGCTGCTTTCTTGTATTAGATCAGTCACCTGGTGGTTAACGTGTCTTTCAACTTGGCATATTCCACAAATCAGCACTTCACATTTTTTACAATACAACGAACATTTAGACGACATATGAAATTTACAATCTGGAATAACGGGTGTGGAGTATCTTTCGCTATATGGCACTATTGTGTGACCTTGGGACGTATCTGACGTCACGTGATTCCCGCCACATCCTCCACAGAGTTTGACGTCACAGCTTTTACAATACACCTCTACCTCCAGAGGACACTTGTCACATCTGATCACATCTAGGCCACCCAAAGACGCCATATTAGTGAATCTGTCAAAACAATTACAAAATATTTCTATTACTTAAAAGCACTAAAAACTTTATTTCATCGCTTTGATTAATTGATAGATCATTATTGTTTATCGGCGAGTCGGCAATAGTTCAGCCGTATACTATCTTTGTCACTAAGGAACAAGTGTTTGAAAAAGAATCTCCTGATTTTTATCTTATTATAAAAAGCATATTTTTATTTCGAACTCTGAATCAAAGCACGTACGAGGTACGGAGACGTTAAGTGCCTTTTTTCTGTTGCTTTTTAATATATTCCAAAACAAAAAAATTCTTTTCATGCCTGACACTATCTTTCAATTTGGTGGCATACAATAGTTTTCCTTCTGATCACGTTTTGCGTATTATCTAAAAAAATATTTAAACGCCATATAGGCTAACATTTGTCATCCTTTATCATTTTTATATATTTACATTTGCTGTGTTTTTCTATTAAGCCAACTGTGAAATTGATTTAAATACAATTTTTGTGTACATACTTAGTATATACATGGAGAATATGCGTTAACGTGACGTCACAATGAGTCTGCGGTGACGTTAGTAAAAATGAAATGATATGGGGCAGCGAGAAATTCAAATAATGAGTATATTTTAGTTGCTTCCAAACATGTAAAATGTAAATATAAGGAATGTTTTTAAGTTTAGTGTGAATTAATGGTGTGTGAATCACACAGACTCGCACGTAGGCATATTTCATGAAATATGCCTGCATGATGACAAGTCTATGTGATTCACACACCAATAACTCACATAAAACTTAAAAACATTCCTTAATTGAACATTATCCCAGATAGCAAGACATAGTTGGGCCAACGTTGGCCCAATTTTTTTTCCAACGTTGGCCCACGGTTGGTAACCTTACGTTGGCCCACGGTAATTTTGCTCATCGGCCCAACGTTGGTCCAACATGTTGGCATATTGTTGGGCCAACGTAGGCATAATTGTATGACAACTAACAGCCAACCTTAAAAACTGGTTGGTTAGATGGCCCAACGTTGGGCCTTTGTTGAAATGTCAGATGGCATATTGTTGGGCCAACGTAGCTATAAGTGTATGCCAACTAACAGCCAACCTTTACAACTGTTAGGTTAGGTTGGCCCAATGTTGGCCCTATGTTGAAATGTCAGATGGCATATTGTTGGGCCAACGTAGTTTTTAGTGTATGCCAACTAACAGCCAACCTTAACAACTGGTTGGTTAGGTTGGCCCAATGTTGACCCTTTTTTACAATGTCAGATGGCAAATTGTTGGGCCAACGTAGTTATTACGTAGAAAACTTTGCAATTGGTTAAGTGATTCTTTACTTAAACCTATTTTATGACTGTTTAAAATAATTAATTAATACACAATTCAATCTGCATTCATAATGCATACATGGACATGTTCAATGAAAACATTACTAAGGATTCACTGTGATAATATTTTATATAAATCAATTCAATCATAATTTACAAAATAAATTTTAGAATAGACAATAGAGGTAAATTATGAAAATTTATCAATTCAAAGTTCTTAATCAGGGCTCACTTCCTTTATTACTGTCCTTTTGTTGTATTCCCGCTCTTTTTCCGTCCCTTCGACGCCTCCCGTTTTTTTCATCTTGATCTTTGTCATACGGACTCGTACTTTATACAATTCTTTACGTATGGTCTTCGATTCCATTGCTATTTACCGCCACCACATTTGTTTTCCTTGCAGTCTCTGACTGAATTTCTTTGTTACAATCGTGTCTGTAATAGACAGTTAAGAATTAGATAGATAGAAACAACTTCAAAGATGTTATTTAACCTTTACTTACAGTGCTTGTGTGCAAAAACATGAAAAGAATGAATTCCGAATCAATTTTAACAGTTAACCTGAATAAATAAGAATACATATACTTACATCGCTTCTAAATGCAGCTATATAGCAAGTGTATAATCCACAAATTTAAATTTCACTTCTTCTTGCTTGCCCTCCATTATCACCACCTGTGAGCAATTGAATCTGACAGCTAACTCCACAGTTTGGTCACGTGTTAGCGAACGCCTAACTTTTGTTTCGATTTAATTATAAAGCTGTGTCATTTTGATTTATGTATATGTGGGCTTCATTCACATCCTATTCCTGAGAACTTATTCAGACTTCTCTAAATTCTCATGAATACAACGCTCATGAAAAAATTAATAATTTCAAAGGTTTTATTTCTAATAAATAATCATGCATGTGCACAGTTCAAAACTAAAATAAAACACTCTTTGGTGCTGTGATCACTTAAGTTAAAATTTAAAATGTTGAATATATCAGATCTAAACAAAAACAGTCATCCAATTAAAAGCATGGACATAGAATGTCAGCTCAGCAGCTAAAATTGACACCATCTTTAGTTGGCAGTATAATAATTGACCCAGCGTTGGCCCAATATAAACATCCCATCTTTGAAACACCTTGGTAAACAAAAGAACACTCGTGCTAACATCGGGACAACATACTACTACCAAATTGATAAGACACTTTCTTTTAGGGTGTATAACAAACATTGGGCCAACGTTGGGCCAACATACTACTGCCAATTTGATAAGACACTTTATAAAGTATGTATTACAAACATTTGGCCAACGTTGGGCCAACATACTACTATATCAAATTGATAAGACGCATTCCTTTTATGAGTGTATAACAAACATCGGGCCAACGTTGGGCCAACATACTACTACCAACTTTAAAAGACACTTTCTTTAAGGGTGTATTACAAACATTGGGCCAACGTTGGTCCAACATACTACTACCAATTTTAAAAGACACTTTCTTTAAGGGTGTATTACAAACATCGGGCCAACGTTGGGCCAACATACTACTACCAACTTTAAAAGACACTTTCTTTAAGGGTGTATTACAAACATCGGGCCAACGTTGGGCCAACATACTACTACCAACTTTAAAAGACACTTTCTTTAAGGGTGTATTACAAACATCGGGCCAACGTTGGGCCAACATCAACACCCCTCCTTCCTTGGGAAGTAAAGTGAATGGAAGTTGCTAACGTTGGACCAACGTTGGGCCAACATAGGAATTCTGTCATGGTCGAGAAGGTTGGCATGGTGACATTGGTCCAACGTTGGCCCAACGTTGTTTCCCCAACGCCAACCTTACAACCTTTTGCCAATGTTGGCCCAACATAGTCTTGCTATCTGGGATTATGGTTCTAAAATTATGATTATAATGTCGATATGTATTCCTGCATGAAGATATCATGAACTGTGGCAATAGCTAACAGAGATAACGCCTAAAAATCCACTTCAAAAATACAGATGGTAAGCGGCCCAAAACCATACCTCTGAAAACCCTTGCACACCTAGGAGACATTGTGAAAAAGTGAGCATCATATTGATAAAACAATCTTTATTGAATAACTAGCTTTAAAAGGCATTGAATATCATCATTTCACATTCTTTGACCTGAGTACTATTACAGTTCGTTACCGTCATATTTTCTTCAGTCGATTTCATTAACATAACTTATACCTATACATTCACAATATGAAGAGAAAAAGATAATGGACATTATCAGTATCATAAATTAAAATATATATGAGATAATAACAAATGGTATTCAATCTCAAAGGTCCAGTCCAACAATACAAATCAGAAGCATATAGCAAAATGACCCTCTAATTAAAACAACAGAGGAGGGATCAGGTGCCATAGAGGAGTGAACATCCCCTGCCGCCTGATGAAAATTGACGTGCGCACCTCGTCATGATCGGGTTAATAACGGGAAAATCCGTCGACAATTCAGTGTGTAAATAACAAATAGCATGAAAAACTCAGCAGTAGACTAATGATAGATTGGATTTGCAGGAAAAATTAAAGTATCGACCATCGAACTTAAGAAATGCATGAAGTCTTTAAAATAAAGAAATTCTAAAAATACACTTATTCAGTTACCTGTAATGTTGTAAATTTTGAATTTATCCGGCGGCAGTAAATACAAAATTTACAAAATGACAGCGATTTTGTTTTTAATGCCACCGGGTAAATTCAAAATTTACAGCATGACCTACCCTAAATGTGTAATCAACGCCATGCTAGCTACACATTACATGTATTATGAAGTGGTTGCTTCTTCCTCTACACACTTTATGTATATATAAATAGAACAAGGCACGAGAAGAAAATTATGAATAATATATGCAAAGAAAAATAAAATGAAATAAAGAATTCCTATTTTAATATTACTTTTGGGATCAGAAATCGGATCTGCATGTGATAAATACACTTTTAGAAAAAGAGATAAGTGAATCAACATTCGCCGTATATACTGACCATCGTTTCAAATCGCTGTATTACTTTTTATCATAAAGCAGCTAATTCCTTCATTCACTCACACACCCATTTTAGGCCATCCAACTTCTAATGTTTTAGATGTGTGTCCGTGTTTGCTCGACTCATATAAGTAATGTTTCTATAGACATATGCGCTTAGTTATTTTTATAAATCATAATTATTATATTATAATATATGGAATAAGTTCACTGCAATGCAGAATTTCCGCTCGAAATATAAAGAACATCGACTCTGGTGGTAAAACTCCCCTTAAAACCCTGTCCTAGTCTGTGGTATAGATACTAAAATATTCTACTGAACCATCGAATATCAACAAAAAATTCCTAAAAAAATATTCTAGATTCAAATGTATTTAGGTTATACCGCTCGACCAAAGTTATTGTAATTTGACAATGTTTCTAAATGAATACATGGTTGATGTAATTTTTCCTTACCTTGTTAGTTATATTAGGATATCCATAATATTTCATAAAAATGCTGACATGACTTAATTTCTTGTTCATCTATGACCCAGTTTTCTTTATAATGTCACGTGAGCATGTATACAATATAATGAACATTGTCAATTTTTGAAACTGTAAACAGTGAGGTGCTCAGACAGGGTATATAAATACAATCTTCTTTGCAAAATAGTAATCATCATTGAT